TACAATCCCCTGTTTTTCCTTATCTCATTTTACATAACTCTTAAAGCAAGGTTGAGGTATACTTTAAACCTTACCATTCCCCTAATTCCCCCACCAAACATGGCCTCATCAAATTTATTTATTAGTGCTCATATAATTTGATCCTTAGGATAGCAGTACCAGTAAAGCTGGCCATTGGGCAGAAAAGCCTGAAGCCATATAAACCCCACATCATATTGGACTAAAGTTCCATACTCTGCAATTGGGTCCTAATGTTCTAACTAACATGCTCTGCAGCCATGGCGCCTACATAGGCTAGCTGTGACTAGCACATATGGCTTGTCTTGGGCAAAGTCATGCCTGTGTCACCACCTTTGTTGCTTGTTTGCTACTAAGAGGCATGGTGGAAGTCTCTGATACCAAATTGTTAGGTATCTGTAAACTGAAGTATAATATTAATTTTCTGTATGTATGTGTTCTGAGACTGATACTAGTGGGATGTTAGTTTTTTCATTTCCACCCTTCTCTAACAAACACTACCAAATGAAACTAAAATCTCTGTTTTATGCATTTCCATCATTTTATCCAATTTTCCCAATTTCTGATTATTTGTTTCTCACTGCTCTGTAACACACCTTCAATGTGAAAAACTGAAAGATAAGTTAGTCTCTGATCAGCATGTGCCTTGACTAGCATTGCATTGAAGTTTTGTTGTTTTCCTTACTGTGTCTTCTAGACCCCACTTCCCTGCAAATGAATGACTATTCAAATGCAATATGATATGCCAACTAAAATTATTCTCTCATCTAATCTTAATCATAATTAAATTGAAATGTGCGTAGACCAGATTGATGAGCACTATGCCCTATGAATTTTCATCTAGGTAGTCAATAGCGTGCTATAGCGCCGCGATAGCGGAGTGTAGCAAGGTTTCGGTTGTTCGCCGCTACGCCACAGTGGATAGCGGTGCAAATGGACATAGCGTCTGTAGCAGGTCAAATAGCGGTAGAATCGCCGATCAAATAGTAGGTCATAACCCGCTACACGTTTTGTTGCGACTGGAGCCCTAACTTTATAGAAGAGAAGTCTTTTTTGCCCTCTTTTAATAGGAGGCAGGTTTCCCCCTAGGGTTTTAGGTAATTTAACCTTCCCCTTCTTTCCCTTCTACTTAACACATTTCTTTTCCAAGGTCATGTAATTTTTACTTTATTCTACCTGTCTTCTTCAGTCTCTTTCTTCTTCTTCTTCAGTCTCTTTCTTCTTTCTAATTCCAGTATACATGTTTGGTTGCTTACTCATAAACATAGAATAAAATTGCAAGGCCACCTAATTCACGAACCTACTTTGTTTTCTCTTAGCAGGATTTTTTCTTGGCCCTTAACTGTTTGCCCCATCATCTCTTTATTGATTCTCTTATCAAACTGATTGAACCAATTTTGGCAACATCTTTGTGTGGTTCAATTTCGTGAGATACAACTCTATTATGGCCTCCAACTTCGATCGGCTCTAGAATTTGTAATACTATTATCATGACTATTAATTAGGAATCTGTCTTTTATATGATTTGTGTAGACTATAAATTATTTATTTGTATTTTTTCTTAGTTGTAGCGGTTGTCTCGCTACCCGCAGTAGTGTTTTTGGGGTCGGCCGCTATCCGAAGTTGACTACCTAGATATTCATCTTAGCAACCAGTGATTTAGATTCTGATTCGGGTCATGAGTTGTTAGTGAGGAGTTTGCCTACTATGTCTGACTTTTGACTTTGTAACAGGGGCATGATATGCATTGGGCAGAAACGCTTTCAGAAGGCATTGGACCTTCTGCATAATGTAAGTAATCTACATTCAGCTGCTAATTACATTGGTTGTGGTTTGTTTGAATAAGAACCTTCTGTTTCAGCAATGTTTCTAGTAGCTTATGGTTTATATTTCTTTTTCCAGGTTGTAACTGCTCCAATGTCTACATTGAATGCTATAGCTGTTGAAGCTTACAAAAAGTACATATTAGTTTCTCTCATTCGTCATGGACAGGTAAGCAATTATATTCTTTATTGCCTTGCCTCTGTTGACATAGCATATTGAAGGTATGAAATCAAAAAAATTCATTATTATTATACTGAGAATATTTGTATCCCAAAATCATAATTATCAAAGGATTGACATCTTGTCCCATTTCCTTTAGTGATTGCAAGATGAATATGTCCTCATGAACCATATTCCAAATGTCATATTTAGTTTTAGAAGACAAACAATTCTGATTTTTTGTCATTTTGACCAATTCAGCCCTTATTTTTATGAGGTACTTCTTTGTTGTTTATAAGCTGACCTGCCATATGTTTGATGCCAGTTCTCTACCACTCTTCCAAAGTATTCTTCTTCAGTCGCTCAAAGAAACCTAAAGAACTTTTGTCAGGTATGAATACAATTCAGTTGAGGCTACATTAATGCTTGTACTATTGGAGATATATTTTGAGTATGTTGTTTAATTTATGTTGCAATGAGCCCATTTAAGAAAAAAATATGCTTTCTTACTTTCTGGTTTGCTTTCTCATTTCCATTTTCCAAGTTTTATGTGTCTGTTCTTGCCAGCTGTGGTATTACTTCATTTCTTGGGTTCTTTGACTTTGTATTAGACGGTGAGATGTAATTTTTACCCTGTTTAATTGTAATGACACCTGGTTTAGTAGACACTTCTCGAGTTTTCAATTGATAAGAGCTTTATTTGCAACTAGATTTTGGTTTGTGATCTGAGTTCTGAACTTATGTACAGTCGGGCAGGCATTAAGATGTTTTTAGTATGGAGAATTCTTAATTTACTATCATCTTATTTTCTGGGTACTGTAAATTGGTTTTTACTATATCAGTTCCTATGTAAAACCCTTGCAACAATATGTTTATTTCAGTAATTCGACTTCTGGGTTTTGCTTTGGAGGGACCAATCTTAGTTGCAATTTTGTGGCTTACCTCAATTTTCTCTTATTCATAGATTTTGCTTTTTAGAATCATTTTCTTGTACGATCAACTTGAATGGATGCATGACGTAATATTAGCTATTTTGGTTCATTACTTTGAAGCACATTGCTTGAATTTCATTTGATATTCCTTCATAGTATATCTTTTGACACGAGTCAGGATAACCTCTTTCATTTTTCCTCCCATTTGGGCAGCCTTACATTGATTTTGCAAATAGTTATAGCACTGGCAAAATTGCAGTATTGGAAGAGCATGTCCAGGCGAACACAGACAAGTTTGAGTCTGTGAGTTGTTTAACATCCTTATCCTTTCTTTGAAGCATCATGCATTTTGACTATAATTCTTTCCGTCTATCTTCCTTTTTTTCTGTTTTATTGTTAGTTGTTACTTATAAAGCTTTCTTTGAAATTATATGTTTATATGACTGTGATAGAACAAGAGTTAGACCTCCTATTAAAAACGTGTATGTAAGGAGGAATTAAAAAATACAATAGCATGTGCTTATGGCAGTTATTCTGTTAGGCTATATTCAGTTAGTTAGGAGGGATAATAACTATAAATAGAAGAAGGATGAGTGGGGGGAAGTTAGCTTTTGGAAAGTGGCATGTGTAAGGGATAACAGATTAGGAAATCTGTTATCAAACTCCCATTAGTGCAATTGTAACTTCTGTTCTTAATTCCTACTCAAAAAAAGTGATAATTCAAGATCACATTGATCTTGAATCTCTATTCATCATCTATCTTTCTCTTAGCTGCTTTCCTAGAAAATATCAAGCTTAACAGACTGTGTGAATTTTGTTTGTTTCAGGACAACAACCTTGGACTGGTTAAGCAGGTTGTATCATCCATGTACAAGCGGAATATTCAAAGGTTGACCCAGACATACTTGACCCTTTCTCTCCAAGATATAGCCAATACAGTGCAGTTAAATAGCCCCAAGGATGCTGAAATGCATGTGCTACAAATGGTGCTCCTCAGAATACTCTATTTTTAATCATATTCATGTAGGCATGTAGCATTAACATTTTACCATTAATAACAAATTCCTGAACTACAGATTCAGGATGGTGAGATATATGCAATGATCAACCAGAAGGATGGAATGGTGAGCTTCTTAGAGGATCCTGAACAATATAAAACCTGTGAGATGATTGAACATATTGATTCATCAATCCAGAGGTATGCTTTTGGTACTTCTTATGTCGTAAATTAAGCCCGATGACCTTCCTGTACTGTATGATAAGGTGATCAGTAAAGTTTCACATGAAAACTTCAAGTCAAAATATGCTGCAAAAGCAGTTTTTAGTTAACGCCTTTAATGGTTTATTTAGCAGTGATCTGAGTTAATGATATGTGTCCCTCCTCGTGTACTAAATCATTTTTCTTAATTACTTCCCAGAGTAATGGCACTATCAAGGAAACTAACTACAGTGGATGAGCAAATTTCTTGTGATCCCATGTACTTGTCCAAGGTGAATTTGATTAATTGTTTTCATCCTGTTATCTAACTTGTATGTAAAATATTGATTACTGACAAGATTTACTATGAACTCAGGTCGGTAGAGAGAGACAGAGATATGACTTCGACGACTTTGATGTTCCACAAAAATTCAACATCTAAGGCTAGGCCACCTGCTCATAAAGGTTTCTATTATCCTTTGAATGATGCAGCAGATTTGGTTCATTAATCTGCATGTAGGAGATTGGTTTCTTCTGTTCCCAAATGGAAGAGTTTATCTGTGTTTATAAACTTTGTTCTATTGGGAAGTAGCTCAGAGGATACTGAATTATCTTTAGCTATAAACTACTTACAACTTTTTACTGCACTCTTTGTACATTTGTGCCTGATCTATTGACCTATCCAAAGTAGTTTTTATATGTGTGAGATCTGAAGTTAAATACCCTGAATGTATTTTGCTGATCCTGTTAGGCTGTCAACCTTTCTAGCTTTGGTAATTTATGAGAGGCATATTGGGGAAGAAATTGCAATAGTAGGATGTGATGTGCTTGGTAACCATAATTTATGGGCATATAGGCTTAATTCACCAAGCTGCAATCATACCCGAACTAATGCAATGGATTGCATCAGAACTCCACAATTAAGGGCTTTGGCGAGAGTAGTATTAGAATAAGTGACCTCATTGGAAGTCCTTGTGTTACACCTTTTTTTAAGAGGGTGAGTTTGACGTAATGGTAAGGTTGTTTAGTAATCATGAGGTCACGAGTTCAAATCCTGGAAAGTCTCTCCACGTATAGTGTTAAGGCTGTGTATATCTACTTTTCCCGTACTCCATTAAGTGAGAGTATCACGTGCTTGACCATTTCTTAAAAATATAGTCTTAATTCATCCATATTTTTCCAGTAGAAATATATTCAGTATCAATCTTCTTCACAATCAAAATTGAGTCATTTTACTACTATGTTCTGGAGTTGGATCTGTATCATGAATGATATCCAGTCTTATACAAGATGCTTGACCATGATAGTTGCATGAGTCAATTAGACATTTATATATCAGACAAGTGGAACAAATTTTGAACAGTCTTAGGATTAGTTTGTTCTCTATGATTGTCCTACATCCTCCCTTAATAGATATCTTATTGTTCATTCTTATTATTATTTTTGATTCACCAAAACTAAGGGTAGTTAGATATCATGTCTCCAGACTTATTAAGGTCGTGTCAAGAAATTCTAGGAACCTAGGTAAATTTTTCATTTTAAGCTTAGTCTAATATGTAATTCAATTTTTAATTTGTTCTTCAGATTTCTGGTTGCATTTATCAAAGTTTTATTAAATTATTTTAAAATTTCATTTTCAATAGATAATATAACTAATATAGACGGTGTCAAAAGCTAGATGGGTTTGATTAGTTCAATATAAAGGTCAAAGGTAATTAATATGATAGAATTAGTCTAGTGGTGTAAGATCATGCTAGGTTTTTAGGATGACCAAAATGTTAAGGTTTGATTCCTAAAAGTGACACTTGTTGAAAGAGATAATCACATATCCCAAAAGTGATAAGTTCTTTATCCATATGATGAGGGGATATTGTTGATAGTACATCAAAAAAAAATATCCTTATCTTATTGGAAGACATGATTGAATAAAAAAATTGAGCTCATGAAAAGGGAAGACGGAGATTCATGTAACATAACAAAGAAGGATCCTCATAAGATATATAAGACATCGAGTGTAAATAAAAGTCTTTAGATTTAAGAGTAATTACTCATTTTAGTTCATAAGTTTTTTTACCTTTGTCTTTTTGTCTTCACCTATTTGTTAACGTTAATAGAGTTGATCACATGAGACTTTACGTGTTGACATGATCACAATTGACGATTTCATAACATTTTTGCCAAATCAGTGAATCGTTTTGAATATATTTTAAAAAATGAAAAGATAAAACGATATCATTTTGTGTCATCTTCTTCTCCATTGTTAGCTCCAACAAAAATACTCAATTTAATCCCTCAAAATTTATATATGTATTATATTAGTCCTTAATGGTAAACATCAAAATTTAAACATAAACCAAACAAAATTTTCCACCGTGAGATTATCATGTGTACAGTTAACGGGTCATATGAACATTTCTCAAGTTATTAGAGAGCTAACATGAGTCATAGTTTTGAAAGTTTTAAACCAAGATGATAATTTGAATTGACAACATCCAAATAAATATTTATTCTAAATTCTTCTCGATATAAATCAATTATTAATAAATAAAATAAGTATTTGTGACATGAGAAAAATATATTTAAGTTAAAAATTTAATTATTAAATATTTTTTTGATTAATCACCCGTTGATAATATATTGAGTATATAAGATATGCTCCCCTTAATAGATGAGAGATTTGTATATGGATAAATGAAACAAGAGAGAAGATATTTGTGAAGATATTTGCTTCCCTCCACTTCCCAAATTCTATCTCACTCTTTCTTCTTCTTATTATCTTCACCTAGAAGATATACATAACAAACAACACTTCAATTTCCCAAACCCTAAAATAGTAAAATCCCCAATTCCCACAAACCCTAATCCCCATGGAACTTTCTCGTCTCTCGATTCCTTTCTCCCACGAACACTTCTTCTCCCATCCAATCCGCTGTTCTCCTTCATTACCCTCCTCCTTCCCCCTATCACTCCGTAAGAACCACCGTTCCCTCCGCCGGAGAACTTACTGCTCCGCCTCAAACCCAGAAACTTTGGTCGCCGGCACCAAAACCGTCGTCGTTTCTAGCAAGAAAGAAGAAGAGAAAGGTGACTTGAAATCTTGGATGCACAAACATGGCCTCCCTCCATGTAAGGTTGTTCTGAAAGATAGGCCTTCTCATGATAATACCCATAAGCCTATACATTATGTTGCTTCCAGTGAAGATCTTCAGGTTTAGGAAGAAAATTTGATTCAAAGTTTTTTGCTTTTTATTAGTGTTGATTGTTTCTGTGATGGGTTTATGATTGTTTCCTTTTGTTGTAGGTGGGTGATGTTGTATTCTCTGTTCCGAATTCGTTGGTTGTTACGCTAGAGAGGGTCTTGGGAAATGAAACTATTGGTAATTCATTGCTCTTGTGATTCTTATGATTAGTATCGTGTCTATTGTGAAATTTATTTGCATGTTGCATTTCTTTCGTTTTAACTTTGCCAATGAATTTTATGAGAAATTAGAGTAGAATTAGAGTGAATAAGAGTTAATACTATTGTATAGAATAGAGTAAGAGTGAATAGTATTGTGACTATTGTATCTTTCTTTTTTGTGAACCCAAAAGACATTTAATATACTTGGAGTCAATAAGAGTTATACATTAACAGATTGGAGGTGTATTGAAGCATTTCAATTTTTGAGTTTATACCTGGTGCTTTATCATTTTTGCAGCTGAGCTTTTGACCACAAACAAATTGTCTGAATTGGCATGCTTGGCTTTGTATCTGATGTATGAGAAAAAACAAGGGAAGAAGTCTTTCTGGTATCCATACATCAGGGAGCTTGATCGTCAACGAGGTAGGGGTCAGCTGGCTGTTGAATCACCTCTTCTATGGTCAGAATCTGAGTTGGCTTACCTTACAGGAAGTCCTACTAAGGTTTTCCCCTTCTCTCTCCTTCCTGATTGAAGATGAACATATGTATTATACTGATAAATAAATGATAACCTTAGAATGGTGTAATACTCGATACTTCCAAATATAGCCAAACTAAGTTTTGGTGGCTGTGGTTTAGGCTGATGTTCTTCAAAGATCTGAAGGAATAAAAAGAGAGTACAATGAACTTGACACAGTCTGGTTTATGGCTGGTTCTCTGTTTCAGGTAATTAAACAATGCACTGGACAAAATGCAATTGTTATTTATATTATGCCATTTAGTGCTTACAGTATATGCATGATGCAGCAATACCCATATGACATTCCTACAGAGGCTTTTCCATATGAGATTTTCAAACAAGCCTTTGTTGCAGTTCAGTCATGTGTGGTGCATTTACAGGTAAAGATTCCTTCTTACCTGATATATTTTAGTGTGTATGGGGGGGAGGGGGAGGGGGAGGGGGGTGCGCAAAAAAATATCCAAATTAAATAGAGCTTGATTGTATATTAGTGACACAGTTACCATGTCATATGTAGCCATGGAATTATCTGAATCTCAAAATTTTATACAATTATTAGTAAACACCTGATTTGGCCCCTCAAGAAATTTGTGTGCTTCAATTTGGCCCGTAAAGAATTAAAAGTCCAAAATGGTCCTTAAAGATCTCAAGTTTGGTCAAATTAGTCCCTAAAATGTCCTAAAAATGACTAATTTGACCCCAAATTGAAATCTTTGGGGACTAATTTGTATTTTCCAAATCTTTAGGGACCAAATTGGTTCACACAAATATTTTGAGAGACCAAATTGGTTGTTTACTCTACAATTCAATGCCAGGCCACAGTGCTTTACAACACCATTTATTATTCAATCTAGTTTGCAATATTTTGATTGATGTGTAGTTTTTAGATGAAGTGGCAGTAAGCTAGTTCAAATAGAAAATCTTACTATTGTGACTACAGAATTTGCATGATATTTTAACGCAAATGAATATTATTATTGCTATCATTTCTTACTTTTACATAAGGCACTAATTTCCTTGAAATGTTTGGATAGTTGTTGCCCTTTTAAAATCAGTGATGGTGCTTTGAGATTTCATGCTAATATTCTCATTGATTGATGAATTCTTCTGTTTCTGGCATAGTGGCATTTAGTGTTTTCTGGTAGATCAAAGCTTTTCTTCTGTCTGGACGGACAACAGCAGTTATTGATCTTGTTTTTTCTTTTTATTCCTTTTCGTTCAACAAGGTGTGCAAATTGATTTTTTGTCCTTTTTGAAATCAGAAAGTTAGTTTAGCTCGGAGATTTGCTTTGGTTCCCCTGGGCCCTCCTTTGCTGACCTATGGAAGTAAGTGCAAGGCAATGTTAACTGCTGTTGATGATGCTGTTGAGCTAGTGGCTGATCGCTCATATAAAGCTGGTGACCCAATTGTTGTCTGGTATGTTTTCATTTGACGTCTTCTAACTGGGCAAACATATTTCTCTTACATAACCTTCTGCTAATTTGGAATTGACTTTGTAGTTTGTACCCATTTCTGTATCTTTATCACAAGCTCTAAAGTTGGTCATTTTCAGGTGTGGTCCACAGCCTAATTCAAAGTTACTTATAAACTATGGTTTTGTTGATGAAGATAATTCTAATGACCGTTTAGTTGTTCAGGTACAAGGCAGACATTTACTTCTTTTTTCATCCAGTATTTTTTTCTTTCTTCTTTTACCTTCTGATACATCTGTCCCAGGCAGCTTTGAACACTGAAGATCCACAGTATCAAGAGAAAAGAATGGTTGCTCAAAAAAATGGAAAGTTATCAATTCAAGTTTTCCATGTACGAATATCGAACTCTTAATGTTATTGCATGTTTTTGAGTGATTTTGCTCTTTAATTTCCTTATTTCAACCTTGGTGTAGGTTAATGTTGGGAAGGAAAGGGAAGCTGTCGCAGATATGCTTCCTTATTTACGTTTGGGCTTTGTTTCAGATCCTTCTGAGATGCAATCTGTCATCTCGTCTCAAGGACCAGTTTGTCCTGTAAGTTTGTCTCGTGTTTTTCTTTTGTGAATTTGAGGAGGTATTTGAATTTTGCCAAA